TAAAATGCAGTTTTGCATAGGTAGTAATTTTAATTTTGAGCAGCAATTATGCATGAAGATGTCAAAAGAACTCTAACCTTTAGGAGGAGTTTTGTGCAGCGTGTGGACAGAAAATCTGTGATGCAGGGCTCTTGCACACAGAATCTGAAGCAGGACTGGTTCAACTGGCCTGACTGCAACTGTTATCATCTGGATGTGTGAATGTGTGAAAGACAACATTCTAACAAAATCATTTACTTTTGTTACCACTATTATTATTTTTATTCTTTTTTAATAAGTTTAATTGAAAGTAACAACAGAAGGAAACAGAAATATTACAAATATGCAATATTCATAAAGATATGAGTATATCCTTTGAATAAGTTATATTCAAAGAAGTGGGCAGAAGTACACACTTATATTTGCCCATCCTTTTACTTGCGACCTTATAACAATCACTTCTTAGTCATCAACAAAATTATTCTTTCCCAAAAAATAAGGTAAATTTGTATTTTGCACCACAGTTGAACTATTTTCACTATTTACAAGCAGATCAAATCAAATTGTATCGAATCATGATTAATTGATTCAGAATTGAAATCAAATCAGTTTAGAAAATTGGCCAAGATACCCAAACCTACACCTGATGATAAGTTTGAATAATTTTCTAGCTTAATAAAGACCGGATCATTTTTAATACGTCCTCAAAAGTGAAACACTAGAGTTAAAAGAAAATCTACAATATTTGTGAAGCATTTTAAGCAAGTGCAGTTACTTTAAAAGTGCTTTAAAATAAATTGGACATTGACATTTGAGACAACAGTCAATGAAATTAATGGAGCAACCCATAAAACAAGACATGGTTACACAGTATTTAATCATATATATACGACCCCCAATTTTTCAAGCTTAAAAARTATTAAAAAAATAAGTAGTACTTCAGGATTTCTCAGCCCTCTTGCGGTGTGTACCCTCTGGTCAGGAAACAGATTATTTTGGGGACACACACTTGTGGGCGTGTTTGTGGCTGCAGAGCAAAAGATGTGGAGCAGCAGCGCGTCCTTCTGCATGTTGCTGAAAACCGTTTGGTCCAACAGCAGGAGACGGTTGTCAAAGGTCCACTATGTGTTTCTCAGGCATATAGTTCAATTCTACACCAAAATCAAGTAACTATGTCCCCTTCAGTTATTATTAAAATGCTGTTTATATGTAAAAATCAAAAATAAACTTGACTTTGCATCATAGGCGTTTCTAAATGCCTTGAAATTGGCCTCTGTCTCTTTAAGAACCTCCTACCGATCCAGCTTCCCTCTACAGGGTTCTGTTGTTTACAACCTGGAGCATCGCAGCCTATTTTGTTGTAATAATAATTTTAAAAGCAGCAACAGTATACAATATTAGTTTTGGAAAATTGCAACTCAGGATACAATTGAACCTTAACATCCTCACACACACGTCAATGTTAAGCTAATTTATTTATTACTAAAACGTGGTGTAAGCCAACTAAAGAAAACAGATCRTAGCTYACAGATAGACCAAACAACAATGATGCAAACAATAAAACCTGAGTTGTTTTTCAGCTTACCTGGGCAGACGACAACAGTGTTTGCATACTTCTGAGTGTTGGACTTGCATCGTCTTTTAGTGATTATCTTATTAAACCACTATTAAATTCCATTTTGTTCAGAAAGCTATCATCCGTAAAGTAGCTCACACAAATACATATATAT